ATTCCTTAATAGAAGAAAAGGAGCTTTGAAATAAAAAATACGGTGCAAGTCAATTTAAAAGATTTGGAAAATCGAGTTTGTATAATTATATATAGCATAGACGTAACATACAGTTCCCTGCGCTAGGCTTGTAAAACAGTATCTGTACACACTCATCGTCGAGCAAACAATACACGTTGTAGGTAAGCCATGTCCATGCATAATTCAAACAGCCGCAACGTCGTCGTCGTCGTCGTCGTAGTCGTCGGTCTCCGCGTTGTCGCGCGTACCTACACCATATACGAGCCGTGCAGTAGCAGCAGTTGCTGCAGCAGTACACACAACAAACTGTAGCTGTGCATCGCTGTAGCTGCTGCTGCCTCTCCATGGCAAGCCCGAATCTACTCAATTTCGTTCTTCAGCAGATTGTATTTCTATGTACGTATGAGTAAATACGTAATCAGTCCTCCCTTGCTCGTGGATATGTAACGTTATGTGCATCGCGATCGTTTTTTCTCTCCTTTTTTCTCTTTCCCGCGCACCCTTACAAGAAAAACGCCTATACTTTGGCTTCTTTACTTATTCGACTCCTAGTTTCTAATACTTTTCACTGACTAGCGCTGCCTCCGTGAAAATTCGAAATTCACGGAGATTTTTCATCACCCCATAAAAAAATCTCCAAGTCTAATGAAAAATGATCAATATAATAGAAGCCAAATTATGCGATAAGAATATTTATTAAAGGACGATCGCGAATACGCGCTCCTATGCGGCCAAGTCGAGTCAAGCGCGCGTTCCGTACCAGCGCGAGGATGGCAAAATATAAAGAGCGATAAAATTGAAAAGGCACTAATTTTCGAAAATCCCTTACACGTTGCACGGGGCAAATTTACGAGTACGAAACAGCAGCGGAGCAGCTATATATACGTTTATAAGCAGCATGCAGTGCGATATCTCGTAAACAACATATTCCCTTCGCAGATAAACCCCCTTGGCAAAAGCTCGGAGTAAAATAATATTTTACCTCTCACGCTCTCACACGCGGGCGTGTGTGTGTGTGTGTGTGTGTGTGTGTGTGTGTGTGTGTGTGTGTGTGTGTGAGCCGCTGCCTCTGTTGCTGCTTTGCCGTACGTAAAACGAGTAAAAAAATAATATTTTCTCCTCGGTCTCACCAATATGGTGTCTTCTTTTCTAGAAAAACGAAGAAGCTCAGCCGCGTGTGCACGTATATACGTAGGTAGCGAGAGAAAGAGAGAGAGAGAGAGAGCGACGCACATCTTTGGAATCTGTCTTAGTTGCGCGCGCTACTCTCGGTGCGAGCTGCAGGCGCAGGCGGCGGTCTGGTGTGTATCAGTATGCGAGCTACGATTCGGCCACATCTCGCGCTCATCCCTCGACTTATTGCGGCTTAGTCATTCCTTTCACTCCGACTATACTCGCTTCTCTCTCTCTCTCTTCTCTCGGTGTCTTGGATCGCAAGCGTTACGCCGTCTACACCTTTTATCACGATGCTCCAATGCATATATACATGCACGTGCTACCGCACACCTTCGAGGCGGCTATACACGGCTGCGCGTACCCTGACTAAAGCCCCTAAATTGTTTCCATCATAAGTCCGGATAGCCGCGACACATATACCTTCGGATAAGCGTGCGTTCGCTCGCTCGCAAAGGTGAAGACCCGAAATACGTCCGAGGATCTCCTCTCTGCTGCTGCGATGTATGCCGAGCGTGGCCCATTAAAGCCATCCAGCTCTCCTCTTGCACTGCTGCTGCTGCCACAGCTATACCTCCTTCATCTCATCCTCCTCCTCTTTCTTTCTCTTTTACGGCTGAGCTACGCTCTTCTCTCTCTCTCGCTCTCCGTTGATAACGCATCGCATCGCCGAATATAAGAAAGAAAGAGAGAGAGAGAGAGAGAGAGACAGAGTGAGAGGGGGCAAAAGCTCATTTTCTCGTGTACGAGCCGCTACGAAATGCGAGAGATAAGTAACAGCGCGAGGGATTCCAAGGGATTAGCTCGATCGAGCGACGATCGATTGAATTTCGCCACGGATATTGCGATTGATTATTCTGACGACCCTCGGCGCGAAAGCGTCGGCAGCAGTAGCAGCAGCTCTACGTGCGTACGTGAGCTAGAGTAGAGCTGTGCGTGTTCTATATACGTATAGAGGTGCGCGCAAGTCGCAAAACGGTAATGGCTAGGATTGAGCTTCTCTCATTGAGCTCTAGAGCCAATTGAATACTCTGATCGAGGATTTTTGTCCGGATAATGCTGATTTATGCCGTGGATGATACTCGAGTTTTAATTTTGTTACTGCCTATAATGGATGGCGTGTAATCAAGTTCCCCGTATCGATCGCACGAATACATATATGACTTTTTTTTAAATCTGATACTCGAGCTTGCGGATAATAAAGTCAACTTGCGCGCAACTATGAAAATGTATAAAAGCACAAAAGTCGAAGGTGGATCTTTAGTTTAAGTTTAGTACACGCACAGTCCGTACATGTTCGTATACTTGTAATCAAACTTGTCACCGAGGACAGAAAGTTAGTCACAGCCAGCGAGTCACAGTTAGCGTCGCAGCAGTTTGCTCTTCTTCTCGTCTCTCTCTCTCTCTCTCTTGCTCGCGCGTATGTGTAGATCTGTGTACGTGCGGGTAAAAGTCTCTCTAAGCTTTCCGAGGGATTTATGGCTGGCGTCGCGACGTCCGTCTTCACTCCGGCGTGACGCCCTCTTCTTGCGCGTCCACAAAAGTCCAGTATACGTTTGCGCAGGATAGAGCTAGAGAGAGAGAGAGCTCAAGGGCCCACGAAACCGCATCGTCTGAGTGCAGTGCAGGCAAACACCCCCACAGAGCCATTAGGGTGCGGCTGCTACTGCTCCTTTCTCCTTCACTGGGCGAAGCAACCGCGAAATTTAGGATGTTTGCGCTATTTCTACTCCGCGTACATATCTATATACGAATGCATAGATACGTACATACTTACTCTGCTTTTCTATTTTTTTTTCTTTTTCTACCTCTTTCAAATTTACTCTTCCTTTACAGTTTTTTATGACTTTTTAAGTATTTTCTTGGCAAGACTATTGTTGAAATAGCGATGTTTTTGCTTGCGCAAACATAGCTGCATGTGTCAACTTAAATTGATAAAATTTAGCAAACATTTTTAAAAACTTGATAAAAATTTTTAATGAAGTTATAAAAGGGATACAGGAGTTGAATGAAAGAAAAAAAAATTTCATAATGAACTTTTTAACATTTCTAGAAAATAATTTCCTAAATTGTGAAAATATAGAGAGCAAACAAACAAAATTATTGACTAAAAATATTATCGATATTTTACCAGTGACTATTGTAAAGTAAAAATAATGTTATTATACTTGTAATATTTCAATCGAAAGTAGTTGATGTATTTTAAAGAGCAAAAAAAATATTTTATATTTATTACGAGCCTGAATATGAACACTGTGAAAATGATTTAAATAACTTAAAATAAATATCGATAAATGATAAAAATCAAACGTGTGAATAGATTCGGTGACATGGACAATGGGAGGGAGGTGAATCGAGAGCAGAAAGTGACTACTAACAATTCGATAACGTTCCCCGGAAATATTTGACAGCTGATGCAAGGACAAAACGCATCGCGGCGACGACAACCACTCACAGCAGTAGTAATTAAAAATATCCACAAGCTGTCCTCGCTGCAGCGCTGGAATGCATTTTACTATACGCGCGAGAACGACTAATGAAAAATCACATTTTGTGCGTACTTACTGCAGCACATGGTCACACAAATGCACATTCACACACACATCCCCAGTCGCACAGACATACATTGAGAGCCACATAAGCCTTCGTGAAATTTGCTCTCGGAAAGTTAGGGAAACGTGCGTATTATTAAAAAGAGAGGAGATGAATGTCAGGCAATGACAACGAAGATTCGTCGTGTAATGATAGCGCAGCTTTTTTTAACTTTTATTAAAATAGCAGACGAATTTATTATTTTTTGGCCAGTGCGAAGATTAATGTCAAAAACGGACTTTCATTATTACCGCTGCAACCAAAACTTAAATTCCCTTGAATGTTATTAAAATGGCAAAAAAATCATTTAAATTTTGATTTGCAACGTTCAGTTGTATTAAAGCCACGCACGCACGCGCAAAGTCATCAGTATACTTTTCATCGATATTTTTCAAGAAGTAGTCATCATCGGCTAGACTTGCGGATACATAAGTATAAAGTCGGTAGTGCGACGTCATTAGTAATTCCGATCTCGTCGGGCGGAAATTATGTCCAGCCATTCAAGCTACGACGATGCCTGCTCGCTCTCAATATCCTCCCTAGCACGCGTCTAGCTCAATACGTGTGTAAGCGAATGTAAGTACATGTGTGTACGCTTATTCTCGCGTGCACCGACGCATAATGTCGACATTCGGCTCGAGACCCTGATCGACGATGGAAATACATACAATCTTCCATGAGGAAATAAGGTTTGAAAAATATAACGAATAAGAGTTTTGGTTGAATTCGAGTTGGCTAGAAAATTCGTAAAAATATTTTAAATTAGGAGTGAAGAGAATGAGCTTTTGCTACGGTTATATGGCACAGGCACAAATATTTAGCTTATATCATGTGAGAGTCTTAACTCCATCCTCCAAGATTTACAATGGATATCCGGTCATGATTCTAGACGGAAGTTCCTCCCGTCATGTATACGCAAAGAGTCTTATCAACACCGCTATATTTGAGTAGCGCACCGCGTTTATCATGCTTTGCTATCTTTCTTGCACTTGCATTGCTATACTTTCGGTTAAGTACGCGGCGTCACTGCATACTAAAGCATGTTCGAACTTGAGCGTTTCTCTCGATGTATCTTTAAAGCATCGAGAAGAAAATTTTTAGCTTGGAACTTTTATTTTCTATGGTGGTTTCATGGAATCACGCTTAATTTCAATTAACTTTATAATAATAAAAATAGGTATAAAGTCAAAGTATCCACAATAGTAACCACGTCATTATTACTCAAATGTTATTTAGATTTATTTATTTGATTTGGATGATATGTGTAGTTTTTTTATCAAGGTATCATCCGTTTTTATCCAGTTTACGGTGTCAAAATAATAACCAGTGATTACTTCTTCAGGTAATATTTTATAAAATTGGAACTGACCTGCATCCGAAAACTCATATTCTCCCTGGAATAAAATCAAATGAAATTCGTAAGTTTTACAAAAGAAAAATTATAATCAAAGCAAAATCATACCTTCTTTACGCAGTTGCCTTCCTCTGTCAATTTCAATAAAAACGGAGGTAGAGCTACGCGATACGGATCATTTTTATCACATATTTTTACAACAAAACTTTGTCGTCCTCGCTCTTCTTTTAAAGAAGAATCTTTATAACGGATAACTTCGGTAATCAACTAAAAAATTTCGATAATTTTTTTCAAAATCTTTTACTAAGTCGTATATATTGATATGTTGATCATACTTGCCAGAGTATTTTTTGGAAAATCTTTAATCACACCCCAGTGAAGAGGTAGAGCAGTATAGGTACTATTTACTTTTTTGAGGTCAGCCGAATATGTGTTTATATTTATGTAATCCAAATTCAAATAATTCAACTGAGCGCTGGTTATTTTAACCTTCAAATATTATTATGTTAATAATCAATTCATGATCAAAATTCGTCATTTTTACTTACTTGTTGACAGCTGATCACTGAAATGTAACTCAAGCTGAATAAGATAAAACTTCGAAGTAACATTTTAATTTTAAGGTTTTATTCGCCTCTCACTTAGAAATTGCAATTGAAATGTTTTACAGGTCGAAGCTTTTATAGCTGATCTTATTTCATTATAATAATGTTTTTAAACTAAAGTAGTAAGTCATTTTTTGCAATGTTGATAATAAATAGCAAAGACATGTCATTGAAAAACAAACCAATTAAGTAATGCAGCTGTGTAAATATTTTCCTGGTTCATAATTAACGCTATTACAAATTCAACTACTTTTCACGACATGTAATTCATTTTCTCTTTGCACTCGATCGCTCAAAAATGTTGCCAGTTCAAGGTTCAAGTTCTATAAATGGCCAGTATCGATGATATAGGTGAAACAGATAGAATGAGTCGCGGTCGGAGCTCGCAAGCGCGTGACGTTCGCTCACTGCACAGATGCTCACTCCTACCGTCTGCATGAGCATATAGCATCCTCCTATACTTTGTTCTATCTGGCGTGGGGTATCTTATGTAGGAAAGCTTTTACGAGTCATAAAAGACTCTTTCATGCCTTTTCTAGTGTCAGGCGCACAACGAAGCATCTTCACTCAGTCGTGCGCGTGGACTAACTGATAATAATGCCACTTTTATTGTACAATAACCCTTATACGTGGCGATAAAACGACACTTTATAGCATCAAAAATGAAATAGTCGTGTTGTCTGTACCTTTGTATATGTGTGCGTGTATACATGTATAAACACAACTACTCGCAAGCTCACCACGATTCTATGCAAAGAAGCACAAGTAGGCAGATATATATAATGTATACGTGCACGTATACACAAAAACTTTTTATTATGCTCGATTTCGCATTTGCGCTCGCGCCCCGGACCCGAAAGCGGCGCGAAAGAAGCCGTATAGCAATGAACGAGGCGTTTTTTCCGCAACTATATACACGCCGAGAAACGAGATAATAAAACTTTTTGATTGAATTGCGGGAAATGAGCTGTGAGAATTACAAACGCCTATACTGCTGTGCAGCGCCGCTGCTGTGCTGTCTTGCTGGCTTGGCAGGCTGGCTTACTTTGTATAATAATAATGCTGGAGGATTCCGTTTTTCTGCTGGTGCGGCACAACTTTCCGCATTTGAAAACATTGTAAAGTAAGAATGGTTTAAACTGAAGTGAATTTTTTAATGACACTGTTTCGCTATATTGGATCCAAGAATTTCGAGGATATAGTTAAAATAGTATAATAGGAAAATTCTCTATTCTCTAATCAGCTTGTAACTTTTTTCTCATTATCAAAGTTAAAAATATGTTTAAAGTAAATTTAACTTTGAAAACATATTTGAAATTTATTAAAAATTAATTGATCTAAAAATAACCATAAATTTCAATCAATAGTTTGTTTAGTGTCTAGTGATTAAAAGTACAAGCCCTAATCATTCGAGGTCTTTATAAATCGAATTACATTGAACTTTTCTTTATTACAATAGGTGTAAGACACCGACGATAGTTGGCACTCGTTGCTACATCTCTCGGGAACTTGTCAAACCCTCGAATGTCTTTCCTTCTTTATTTCAGCTCGAAGAAATCCAGTATTACATCACGCGCACCTCTGTATGCCACCCTAGTAGAGTACTCACAGTGTCGGGCTCGAATCTCACCATTTTACCTCTTATACTACCTTAAGGTCATATACCCAGTTACTGTTGTCACTCGGTAATTTATGTTATGGCTTCGTTAATATGTAATGAATATTAATTATTTGCCAACGACGATGACGACGACTACGTCCTGCTGTGAATGCGCTAATTTGTTACTTGTCGTTGTTTGTACTTCCATAAGCAAGCATCCCGTTTATTCGTTTTGATTTTAATTTATTTATAGAAAAATTTCTCAAAACAGTACATCACATTACCATAGTAATAACTATTTTATTGTTTTGATTCTTAATTACCATAGCTTTAAAGTAAAAACTCATGCAAGCTTTAAACACTTCATCAAAGTGCTTGCATCTCGAATTTTGAAAGTTAAATATGAATGCTCTAATTTCAACGTTTTACTCAATAAAGGTAAAAGATCTTTTAAAGTAAACATTTATATTTTTTTCAAGCAGCTAATATTTGGAACCCAACTGTTTAACTTAAAATGAATATAGACCTATATTTTTTACAACTGTAATACTATTGCCCATTCATGAATAATAAAATATCCATATTCATTCACTTCATTCAAAATTTTTATTTTAAAAAAGAACTCATGAATTTTTTAAGATAAAAAGTTAAACAACTTACCTATATTACTCATATTACACATAAAAACTGTCACTACAAATTAAAAAAACATAATAAGAACAAATGCAAGAAAAGTTCGTTTTAAATGAAACGAAAAATTAATAACTAAAAACTAAAATTGATTTTAAAGGGTAAATAAAAATGAATTTGCTGACACAGCTATTTGTAAAATTCGTTTACTAAAATTCAATATGTTCTTGACAAAATGTTGTAACTGCTAATACTAACAATAAGATGACTCTGGCTGGAAGCGTCGTTTTGCATGGTTTGCTAGCCACATTTATTGGAATCACTATACATTAACTTATATCGCAGTAATCGTGGCAAACGGTTCACAATCGTTATGCAAAATATCTTACGACGATTTTAACTCCAATATTGCTACTTACTAACTAGCTAATTTAGTGTTAACAGTAGCGACTTTTGAATGTCATGAGAATTTCAAATATAATAATTCAAAGAATATAAATGAGAGAAAAAAAGATTTTGTTGATGTGATGAGATGTGGTAGTAGATCTTCTCTTTTTTTATAGATACAAATAATAATAATAATAAATTAAGGGAAATTCTATGTATGTAACTAAAAATGGAGCATAAAATTACAAAACGAATAAATAATTATCGTAAAAAAAAAACGTTTCTAATCAGAATGTCATTTCAGAATAGTTATGAAAAAACCAAAACAAGCACGCAAGAGAGGAAAAGAGAAAGCAGAAAAAAAATTGAGTTCGCGAGTGTGCACGCTTCAGCGTCAGATAATATCAATTACGATGCAGATACCCCGTCCAATAAATTATTCCGGATCCTCAACATACATATATGTATCTGCTTGCGTGGACGACTGTGAAGAGCCGCGGGGAGGTGTAAGTCAAACGACTGGACCCCACCGACAGCAGCGGGGAGTCGCTATGCGTTGTTATATGAGCGCTGTTCTGAAGAATGCACACATAGAATCGAAAAGTGAAGCTTGAACGACGTGTCTGACACGCTTGTTCAATGCATTATTTCGCATGTAAACCAAATTTCTCCTTTTGGTCGATTTTGAGAAATTCTATTGAAATTTATTATGGTGCTCGAACTAGGGATTGCATCGTTGATTATGCTATATTTTTCGACTTTGGTATGCGCTTCAATCAAATTTATTACGTAAAGAGGTTACACAAATGTACATTTTTAATAGAATCAATGATTTAGAATAATACTTAAAAACAACTTCAATTTATTGTTAGCATTTCTATATTAATATGGAATGAAGTATTTGGTTATCGGTTATTCGGTTAGTACAAGATATCTGTATAAACGGTGCAAACTTGTTGAATATCTTGGGAAAAAAGAATTTTAAAAGAGTTTTGTTACAAAATGACCTAGTCCAACTTGTGTATTAGAGGGCAACATACGATAGACGATAAAATATATAATATTACAGAGTATACGCACACACTTATGAACGCAAGAATAAGAGAGAACGAGAAAGAAAACATAAGGTTAGGTAACGCCCTCGTGAACCGCCTCCTGTCCATCAAAGGTATCATCCTCATTACGAGCTCGAGCGAGAGCGACCGCTCATCCCGGGCCATACAAGTCGAGTGTCGATTATTTTCTCCTTTTTTCTTTGCTATACTTTTCTTTGTTGTTGCTCTCACTGATCCTCTCTTTCTTTTTCTCTCATTCTCTTTCTTCTTCGCTACACGTGCTACAATAGCAAACGAGTGCAGATAATTATCAACGCGTGCAATATGCCACGAGCAAAATGCGCCTGCTGTTGATATTTTTTTTTTATTTTATTAATTAATTAATTAATTAATTAATTTTTTTTTTGAAAGTTAATATGGCTAATTGCTGCATTGAAAATATTACAGAGACCTATACAAGTTTTGGACTTTATTTTACTTCCAAAATTGCATTATTGTTTGCATCACATAGTCTTATTTCTTAAAACAAGAGCTAGCAGTAATTATTTGCAAATAGTGGGCAGAAATATTTCAATGCATTTCTTTCACAGAATAATTTGAGCTGTAATTTTTGGTATTTTTTATTGATTTAAACCTATTTAATTACTTACCAATTCAAGTGTCTCAAAGTTTAATTAGTACCTGCTTCATTTTTTGCTCTACAAAATTATACATTTTTTAAATTCCCTTCGTATCTCTTTGTAATGACCAGGTGGGACTCATAGCTACGATTTAGAATATAACTTTCAAAAATAAATTGTTCCTTTTTATATGATAACATTTTTTAGATAAAAGTGAGATTCGCAGATGAGAACTGAAATGAGCTTTTTTAACACTGCGTGCGTGAAACACGGGTTTTCTAACCTTAAAGGGTCAGAAAACCCTAGTTTCTCGCAAGCAGAGTTAAAAAATATCGTTTACAACTAGTCCGCGAGGAAGTTGACTCACCCAGGAATCTTTGCACCCTCGCTACGCTCGGGTGAAAAAAACTCCTGGATGAGTCAACTGCTTCGCGCACTTGTTACAAAATATACTATTAATTTTCCCCGCGTCAATATGAATTTATGAGATGAATGTAACTTCTAAACTGGATTTATTTTTCTGACTTTATTGGAAAATAAATTAACTATATCAAAGTTAAAATCTTTATCAGTGTATTTGTATGAATTTGATAGGGGACAATAGAGTACCGCAAAAGTGTTACTTATGGGACTTTTATCATAAAGTACCATTACTAGCATCTCTAAAAGCCAACACCTACGTCATCGTATCTCTTAAAAAAATTTCATGTAGGATCCAAGAAATTCCTACAGGAAATTTTTTCAAGGGTGTGATAATTATAGACTATTCACAATATCAACTTTTAATTGATCACCTTCTAAATTTTCCGAATCCTCTAGGTCTTCTGAAAACATACTCTCTAGATTGCAAAGCTCTAATTCTTTAGAAATCGTACTTTC